TCCAAAGGCAAGCATGTTCCAGTTCTTGGACTGGTTTGATGCCCATGGAGGAGCTAAGTTGGGGGCGGGTAGCTCTGGAAATCTTACAAAGAAACACTTTAACTAGAGCTCCAAGAGACGTATTAAAGATAGAATCGAGAATTTAGAGTGCTTGGTAGCCTTTTATGTATCCAGATATCTAATTACTCATCTATGCAAGACTTATCATGATATGATGCTAGCCACTATCTAATTCTCTAATTTCTCTGCGAATCCTTTTTCTTCAAGCTCTTTCGAGCTTTCATCCGGTACCAGCGCAACTTCTGAACGAGTGGCTTTCGAGTCAGATCCCAAATTGTTCCAGGCAGCTTTGTTCTTCTTCCGCTCTCCCGCCCCCTCGCTTTTATACTGATATCCCCTCATTCTCGGTCCTTGTCCACTCTTCTCTGGTAGCTCACTATCATATTTCCTGGCAAACTCTTCGCAACCTTTCTCAAATGTGCCTTCTTTGATACTCTTTCGTATTGAAGTAAAGAATTCTGAAAGAACATAATGGTTATGTACTTGGAGTAAGACCCATCCGAGCATCTCTTTGGCTGAAAGTAAATGCTGAATGAATGCTCGGTGGTGGGAAGTGCATGCATAGCATTTGCAAGATTCAGAAAGAGGAAGTAAGGAAGTAGCGTGAGCTGCAGTCCACATATCAATACCCAGAGGAAGGACTGAACTGCTGTCGTTTGAAGATTGAGAGTTGGTGGGAGATGGGAATTCAAAGGTTAATGCGATTCCAGCATCCGTGGCAAAATTGATGAATGGGATGGTAAAAATGTCCATTCCGAGTGAAATTTGACGAAGTACATGATGAGGAGATGATGGCTCATCCAAGGAGAGACGAGGAAGTAGAGACATGGCTGTAGTCTCTGGAATTTCTGGGAGTAAGTTTGAATCATAGAAAGCTAAACCCGAGACCTCATCCACCAGTTCGTCAGAAATATAATTTATGTACTCCCACTGGCTTTGATAATCGATGGGTAATACTGGTGCAAAAACGGGCTGTTCCTTGACTTTATCAGCCAAGAGCTGGGCCAACCACTGCCCACTTCTATCGCCCATCTTGGCAGTACGTTTTGCTCCTGCAATGGTGCTATAGGGAACATCTGCAAGCCCAATAGCGATATCTGGGCGTAAAGTTGCGATGGAATCGATGTAGGATTTGTTAGAAAGAGGTTGAAATCCTGTCGATGTGAATACAGAAATAGCTGTATTACTGTTGCCATTAGGGGCTGTAACAGCCGGTGTCCGTCTTGGTGCCAAGAGAGACATGGTAGATCTGGACAAGGCAGTAAAAGCATGAAGAGGTGGTTCTGCTCCAGGACAGTTCAAGATAGGAGATATGGTTGTTTTATTGCTCTTTTCTATGACTAGAAAAGATCAGAACGAATATAAACACGTGATAAAATGATGTGAAACCTACAATCTTCCAATGCGAAATGAACACCCGGGACTTTTGCATGTGCTGCAATTACATCTGGCGTCATATGAGGTATGACGCCTCTAGATGTGATGGCCAAAAAATCCGGGGTCTCCAAATCTTTCCGTCCTTCCAGGGTAATTCTTCCGAGTCTTGGTCCAGAGGCATTGTGATCCAAAGTATTCAAAATTTGAAATCCGAGCCTCGTAGGGTTTTTGGGAGCCATATTGATGGCGGACATTTCGTTGAGTGAAATGAGAAGTATGAGCAAAGAGGTCGATTAAATATCGCCAAGATACTGAGTTTTCTGCAGGCCAGCAACCCTCAGATTATATACAGAGCGTCCGTAAATTTGAGACAAGCACTTGCAGATTTCATAAACATCTCAAAATGTATAATTTTGGACAAGAATTGTATATTGGCGTCAAGAACAGATGTATCACAGAATCTGACCAGAATATAATTTTTCCCACACCCGCGGCTTGAATAGTGCTAGCACTGAGTGAAGACACTAGTCTACAAGTGGTTAGCTTTATTATCTCAGCAGCTTATCCTTATCGGACAAACGTCCGTGCGATAAATGTTACATTTCTCAAGCCTGGCGGGAAGGGAGGAGTACTTCAAAAGTATACCTCTATCACCGCAGTACTCATCGTACATTAACTCTCTTTTGCATTGTTGTTTCTGCCGTTGAATGAATTAAGATTGCCACAAGCATTCAGTTGTTATTTGGACCTAGGACTAACATGCCCACTTTCCTATGATAAGCAAGGAAAAGCAATCGAGCACGAACAACCTTCGGGAATTTCGGATCAACACGCCTTCATTTCTGGGGTTTCAATAAGACAATATGGGGGACCGAAATGGTCGCGTCGATAACAGGCAGCATTTTACGGACAGTGACCACCCCGATGATCCAATTGAAGACCCTACACTCACTCAGCTTCTACCCATGAACGAAATATCAGATGATGATTCTCCTCCTACCCCCCGGTTTTTACAAGATCAGACTTCCTATCGGTACCTTAAATGGATTCCTACTCCGGTCAGACGTGTCAGTAAACAAGCCATTGCTTGGGCGGAAGGGCCAGATCCCCCGCGCATAAACGTCATCAAGCCTTGGTTTCCATGGCTACAGGAAGCACCGTTACGACTTTTAGATCGATATATACCCAAGAGAAGACATAGGATATCGCTTCTCATAGCATATTACTTTTGTTGGATTCTGACTTTTGCTCTTGTCCTACGCCAGAGTACACTTGCTACCGCGATAGAGGAATGGGGAGTCCCTAGCGATATTGGATGTGGCAATACATATTGGGTAGCTGGGAACCAGTGTGGGTTGAACGGAAATGATTGCCGTCCCTTTAACGGAAGTGGATTTGCATTTAAATGTCCCGCAAACTGTGCCAGCGCAAAGGTTCTTAACCCGCGAGCTGTTGGGGCGCAAGAAATCAACTACAGGCCATTAGTGATTGGTGGACCTACAGACGATGATACTACTGCAATTTATCGCAGTGATAGCTTCATCTGCGGATCCGCAATCCATGCTGGGGTTGTCGACAATGTCAAAGGAGGTTGCGGCGTTGTGTTGCTGGTTGGAGAACGCAATAGCTATCAAAGCTCGAACAGGCATGGGATCAAAAGCATTGGTTTCGATTCGACCTTCCCATCATCATTTGCATTCCAGAAAGGAATCACTTGCAAGGCCAAAGATTCGCGCTGGTCACTGCTATTTGTTTCTCTGACGTTCACAGTAGTGCTATCGCTTTTTACTACATCGCCTAGTCTCTTTTTCTTTTCCATTTTCACTGGGCTTTTTGCTCATACTGGTCTCGGCTCTGATCCACCTAATTTCAATACTATGACCGGCCTGGTCTCAAACATATTAGGGAAGTTCCTACCTGCAGCTTTCTGCGCTTTTGTCATATATAAATATATGGGCGTCGAACGTGCCTTGACTGGGCTCACAGCACAAATCGAGAAGACTATATTATGGCTCGGGGGCTGCTGGGTTGGAACACTCTCAAACTACACTTTTGAGTGGATCCCTATTCAGCGGCTGAATGCTCACGATATCAATCAACAGCCAGGTGCCAAACTTGCTCTGGCACTTATCATCGTATTCCTTATCATTATAATCGTGAAACAAGTATTCTTCTTTCGCATGGAGGGTCGTTTAATTCGCTTTCTCGGCTTGTATGGGATATTTATTGCCGCTATACTCATATCTCTCCTACTACCTGGTCTTAGTCTTCGAATACATCACTATATTCTTGCTCTTTTACTGCTACCGGGAACTTCCATGCAGACTAGACCTGCACTTCTCTACCAAGGGTTGTTGGTCGGCTTGTTTATCAACGGTATTGCACGGTGGGGATTTGATCCTGTGCTTCAGACTCCTGCAGCACTTCAAGGAGATGCGAAACATAATTCCGCGCTACCACATATTTCATCTCCAGAGATTTCAATTAGTAGTAACGTTTCTTCTATATCTTTCACCTGGCTTTCACCACCTGCCCCATTTGATGGCATCAGTGTGCTAGTCAACGATGTAGAACGTTTCAGAGGATACACCGATGAAGGATTCGCAAGTGATAAGCATTTCGTTTGGTATAAAAACTCACCTTTACAACACCCCGAATATTTTAGATTTGGATATATGCAAGGGTCTAGAAGTTGGGATTACACAAAGGCAGGCACTTGGAATGTCAATGGGACCTGGACAGAAATGAAAAAGGGGCCAAGTAAGGTCAAAAGTAGATCACTGGATGGAGAAGTCTTCACTATATAGATTGGATGTTTAATTTTTGTTCATAGATTCCCACATAATTTCGATATCTTTCTCAAATTGAAACTGCCCGATTTTCATCGCTGCTGAAATGTCTCTACTGCCTGTGATGTCCTACGCCACAACTTCAAACTTTTGGTGAAATTCTCGGGTTGGTCTATTCTATCTTGGAGCTCTTTAATTTCGGTCTGTGTTCCATCTCAAATAACTATGAAACTCCAGATGATGCGAGTTCTTACACCATGATACCTCGATCGCAAACTTGTTTCCACTCTAGTATTCCTGCCCTAAATCCTTGTCCTTACCATGTTGTCACTGCAAACGAAAGATTGTAATCGGACCTTCAGGGCGCGGAGATCAACGAGGTCATTGCTCAATTGTTGTAGTGCTTACCCTTTTTCTCAGGCGAATTTTTTCAGGTTGCAAAGCACATATTTCTAAGTTTTGATTAAGTAGGTAGCCAAACATGATTAATTGTGAATTCACCATGTTCGGTATTGTGTATCCACACCACCAAGGGTTTCTGGCACATGGGCAATCTTCTTTGGTTGACGTCTACTTTTTTGGACTATGCATCTTACTATTACTGCTCAATTATGGTTCCAACGCACAACCTAAATTGATTTCCTGAACACTATCTCATTACCCGACGCCTCTTATTATTTGCTGGACCAGTCAGCTCCTCGATCGATTTCTGCAGTACCGATACCTGGGCTTCGAGCTCGGCAACCCTTAAGTCTTTGTCCCCTTCCATCAGAACTACATGTTAGAGCTGCTCCCCGTACTTGACTCCCGCCCGACATCGTTGAGCTCATCTGTAGTAGTTGCCTTTGATTCCTGCCCCTTCGTACTCTTAGCTTCAGGCTCGTAAGTCAAAAATGGGAAAATCCTATCTCGGAGTATAACATCGGTCAGATATTGCTGAGCCATACGCCGAGCCATTTTCTTCTCGATTTCTTTACAGGCGCATCTTTCTACTCCTTCTGAAGGTATCAGATGCATGCGCTTTTTCGTAGGTCCGTATTCTTGAGCGCTCATGATCTTCCATTTTCCATCATTGCAAATTCGATAAGATACCTCAGTACGCAATTCCACATCGTCAATCTGAATACGTAATTAGTCAAGTCTCTTCGCCATAATAATCCATCCGAAGGACTTACTTCTACAATTCGAACATACTGGCCCAAGCGGTGTACGTACATGAGTCTATCTGGATAATTGTATTTTCCTTTGTACTCTTCCCATTCAGCTGCACAATAAAATTGTTCGATTTCAACGTCGAGGAGGTGATGAAGTGCTGTCGGTTTCCAGTAGAAGAGTATAGTTGCTAAGACATCGATCAAAGACAAATCTTCCGGAAATTGAATCTGATATGATTTGGGCTTCTTAGATTTTGGGAGATCAGGATTGTTTTGAGGTCTTTCAAAATTGAGGAGATGGGGATGGCCTTGAGGGGCATTTGCAGGGAGATCGAAGCTGATATTGAGGTCAACCTTTTTACAAAATTCTCCCTCCATGGTTATTCTGGTCTTTGCTTGAGCTGGTTTGATTAAACGAAATATGGAGCACGCTGTCTTGAATGTGAGTGATGAATAAAAGAAAGGGATTAATCTAGTGCTATTATATAGCCTTGCATCACTAAAAGAAAATTTTGGGAGAACAATCATCCGCCCCTTAAATTTCTTGAGCTTTGTTTTGGGAGAAGAAATCATTTTTTTTTCTTCAGAGGTGGCTTGTGATAGGCTCTCGACCTGCGTGCATGTAGAAGCCGGGCCATAGCAAATAGAATTGTCTATGTTTGCTTTGGCTGTGCTGGAGTAGTATTCGGTAGCAACAAGATGAATATGCTCGGCGACATATCGGTCTACCGTGCCTCCTATTTCTCAATCCTTCCAGCTCTTTTTTCTTCGTGGAATAGACGCTGCAAAATTTCTCTCTACAAACGGATACTCTCTTTGACGAAAAGTCCGAGAATATTTGAGAGATTTCCCAAGGACATGAAAACAGAAACAATCTCACGCTGGACGAAATGAATCAATTTACTAAAATTGAGTAGTACTACCTGAGAATTATCTCGATTCAGAATCGAGAATTGGATGATCCTTCAGGCTTACAAACTTAGTATCTAAGTATTTCATAGCACTCTTCAATATTCCATCATTTGAAAATCAAATCTTAAAAGTCACAAAAGGAATCAAAATTTGGTCGGAAGTTTTCCCTCCATGTTTTGTTTATCGTTTGCACACAATCTGACAATCTCCTTCCTTAGCCATCTGATATGACAGCCTAAGTTATGTAAACACACAAAATTCCTCATCTTCCCGATACGGAAGCCACAGTCAAACCCCATTTCCATGCCAAGCCGGCCATCATATCCTCTCAATCATTGCGCTTTCTCTTCAAAGACCTTTTCACTTCCTCGACTGACTTTTGAAGTTTGTCCAACCGACCTTGAACCTCAGACATCTCGCCCACGAATCTGCTACTGCCTCCAGAACCAGTTACAGCTTCTTGAACCTGTTGAGAAACTTCGGTGACACGACCCGTAATTGAGACGCATTTCGAGTGAAAGCTCATTGGCATGTTCTTCTTGCCCTCGAAATCTGTCCCGCGTATAATCATTCTTGCTAATTTATGGTCGTGTGCTTCGCGACGCTCCATAGAGCTGGTATATGGGTAATCTTTCTCATCATGACTCCGATCCTCAGAGCATATAATCTCCCAGTTTCCCTTCTCGCAGATAACATAAGTTACATCCAAATCAGAGCAATGACTCGCGAAACTGGTGATCTATGATTGAGTTATCAGAGGGATTTCCACTACACTGTACATGCGTCTTCCATACATGTTTTCCAGGAAGCTACTCACCCCGACTCGGACAATGTTTCCCGCGCGAAGAAGACATATATAGTCTGGCGACAAGTTATCGGATTTATCGCTCTCGCTATCCACCATTCCATTCTGATGTTCTTGATCGTTCTCAGATAGCTTCATATGCCCGTTTGTGTCCCACCAGCAAATAAAATGTCCCGCTTGAATATCGAGCAAATGACTGAGAGCCAACGGGTTGAATTTGTAGAGAATAGTAGCAATTACGTCAACTGTCAACAAATCGTTTGGAATTTTGTCCTTGTCAACCCCAGCATTCCATTTGATTATGTGTGGGTGACCCGAAGGAGTATCGGCGGGAAGGTTAACATTGTCTTCGTACTTAACATCAACTTGCTTGGCAGTCCCTTCTTTGATAAATAGATTGTCCATTTCTAGAGGTAATTACTGAGATGGAAGAAGGAGTGTTGGTTCATGGAAGTTATTGTGAAAAGTAGGAATTATGGAAATTTAACACTCTTAAATCTCGATGAGTGAGGAAACGGGCATTTACCAAGCTCGGGCTACGTGTATCAGTTTTTGGCACGGAAAGGTGCCGAAGTAGTGTCTTATTCAAGACTACAGTCACAAGGATAAAGCACAAGGATCACGTTTGCTCGCCACCACAGAATAGTCCGACTGAAGCTTTTCATTGTGAGGTTACAATGGGTACCTAATATTCAATACCAAAAATTTCTCGCTTTTGCTTTGCTCCAACTACACAGTATTCTCTTCTTACCACAGACTTAGTATGTTCTCTAGAATTGGCAAACCTATCCTCAATAGGCCTATAATCGACATGCGTGCCATCAAGCGGAGGAAGAACAATATTGTTTCATCTAACAGCCCTATCTTTGTCTCTTTGCTTGGATCCAAGGTGTCTATGATTCCACGCTCCAAATGCTTTAGCCACGCATCTATCTGGAGACGAGGTTTTTCGAAACGCCTGTCCCTCTCTCTTACGAATCCTGCATTATTTCCCAGCCATTCATTTTCGATCAAATGCTTGACTAACGTCTCTGTTGCAAATCCCCCAGGGGCAGTGAGAATCCACTGTCCATCGTCAAGAATTTTGTAGCCGTAGTGCCATCGTTTCTTGGAGGTCAAGTCATTGAAGACTACCTGCAATCGCGATTAACAGAATTCCTTTGATCAATATCGATGAATCTCACCTGGACTTTCCGATTATTACGAGCAATGTAGCCACAATGTGTCTCATCGAAAGCGTCTAGACTGACATATGACTCTTCCACGCTGCAATTCAGAAGGTGGACCAAAGACCATGGGCATTGGTAGGCAAGAATAGTGCAAATGACATCCACAAGAGTGACGGCAACAGAATCAGTTTTTTCCCCCGCGGGGTTTGCGGTTTTGTGGATAATGTGAGGATTATTGTCGGGGGCATTAGCCGAAAATTTGAGATGAAGATCGAGATTGAGATCAGCTCGAATGCATAACAGCTGATTAGACATCGTTACAAATTGGATGGCGCTTGTATTGCGAGAGATGCTGAGAGGAAAAATTGGAAAGATTGAAAAGCGGTCTCTGGAAATTTCATAGTCTACATCCAAACATCAAGATGTAGTTATAATCTAAGTAATCTGTGTAACAGACATGACCAAATTGAAAATCAATTGCTCAGGTAAAAGCAAGCTGAAGGGTCGGAAGCATACATGGACACTGCCACCATAGGCAGATAATATTTCGTCGGAAACTTGCGTCAAGTATCCTCAAAGCCTTCACACCGAGATCAACTCATTCGTGGGATCCTGCAGTTCTTTCTTCCTTCGGAGCGCAGAGCGACTTCCGATACCCTGGCCGTTTGTATTTTGAAACCGATATCTAGTTAGTTGAATGTGAGCCACCAAATGAAGTTTCGAGTGCAGTGAACTTGACATCCAACCAATGAAAACCCTGCACATCTCGGTAAACTGCATCGCTTTACCAAAGTTTTCAACAAATGACATAATTCTACAAACGAAGCCTCCCACATTGAAGAGCTTTAGGCCTCCAGTTTATCTATTGCGGCAAAAAATGGCATGATTGAGAGGGTGGATCGAGGGATACTCTATTGACTACATGATTGATTCAGTAAAAATTCTTTCTATCTGGTTTTAGTTCTCCAAAATTTCTACATCCTCTATGTAATCATTTTCATATACATACTTCCCCGATAACCTAGGTAGTACTACCCTTTGCCCAGTCCTGTTTTCAAGGCATGAAAGACGAGGAAAAATCAAGGTCCCTTCCTCAGAAGAAGCTCAAAGGGTGTGTAACACAGACCCAACCAACAACAAACGAGCATCTACCTTGCTGTCGCCTAGAGACCCTCAAGGCTCAAATGTGCATATACCCGAATGAATGAATATTGCCACGTCAGCCGATTATTATTGGTCGAATACTTGGAAGTGGACAACAATAATCATGCAGTTCACATATCATCATACCAAATCACAACTTGCTCACAACCTCCAGCTTTTGATTGAATACTACCAGATACTAACAAAGGTCCGCATAATGATTCTCTCTCATCCCATCCCATCCCATCCCATCCCATCCCATCCCGTAGATTACTTCCCAAGCGGATCATCTTGGGTATATCTGCCGAAACCTGCTCATCAACCTAATCATTCCGCTGCGCACTTTCTCTTTTTTGTTTCTCGCAAATCGGTTTGATCCGCTTTCTTGGCGCCAGTGGCGTTCATCGTCACGGTCTCGATTTCGGTATTGCTACCTGACTGTATGGATACTTGCTTTGGAGTCGAGTTTTTATCCGCCACAGTTGCATTTCCGCCAGCAGCTTCTGATTCGCCGATGTTTATCCAATGTCCATCTTTCGTAGTGACATAACACTCGAAATCGAAATCTTTGAGGAGTTCTTGGTGCCAGGGGAGGGAATTACCCAATCTCCCAGCAAGAATTCGGTCGCTTTTCGCAATATGACACTCATGCCAGTTTTCTTTATAATGGTCTTCCAGAGTGCAAATCTCCTCGATACCCAAGCGCTCAGAACCCAATAGCTGCCATCTACCATCGTCATCGATGTGATAGGATAGAGCCCGTTTGTCGAGCGTGACCTAGATTAATCTTAGTGGAGTCGCTGTGGTTTGAAGGACACATACTCGTAAATATTTCCATGATCTTCTAACGCAAAAGTCCATATTATAAGTAGATGTACACCAGTAAAATTGGGATACGTTGGGATCCAACAACTTTACTAGTGCGGAAGGTTTGCAGAACCCAATGGCTGAGACTATGATGTCTGCAGTATTGTCGCGGGCTTTACATTTGCAGGGAGTCGGGAGTCCCCATCTTTGAATGACTTCGTTACCCTTCACTTCCTGCTCCATTATCCCTGGCTTCAAGATGATAGGCTTTCGAAATCTGTTGGAATAACTGCACTTGAGTCCGTTTTCAAGGCCATCAAAGTAGTCAGAGTGGTCAGAGTTGTCTCTGCGGACTTGACCAGGCGCTCTCTTTTTACTAGACATTTCGACGTCGCTAGTAGACCATAGATTTAGCCCACAGAAAATGATGGGAATTTTCTTGATATATCTTGTTCTGATACAGAAAGGAACCGAGTGCTAGCGGGCATGCAACTGATCAACTGACGGACCAGGATGTTTGAAAATTTTCGAGCTGAAATCTTATGACGCGAATGGGCCGATATGTGACAGCTCAACTTGCTTCTTCACGGCTCAATTTTTAAGCATCCCTTAAATGTTTCTTAGGCCCCAAAACATCTCGGGATCGTGCATTGCATTGCAGAGAAGTAGAAAAATTGAACAAACAAAATAAAAAATAATGATAAAAGCAATCTCTCTATACAATATCTTGCAAACACCAAAACTAAGCCCAGCTCACAAAGGAGTATACCTCGGCGGTTCATCATGATGATCAAATTTCCTCTCAGGCCCCTCCTCATCGAAACCAATCAATTCTTTCGAGCTGGCAATCGAGCCCATGTCATTGTTTTTTCTCGCTTTACTTCTCGATCTACAGCAAGGTAAACAACACGTGAGAACACTCCAAAGACTTTCCATTTTCTCTTCTCCAGTCATGATTCGACCAGGGTGAATTGCGTTCAACATGCTTATAGCTAGAATTGCTGGGGCAACTTCAAAGATGTAGAAGTAATATTCATGGGTGGACAGGGTACTGGATGTCTTATCTCCAGTAGAGAATCGAGCGAGAGAGAAGAATGTCTGGATCTGTGGGGTTTGTTAGTACTACTATCTAGATAATATCATTTTATGGTAAGGATAGAAAATTTACCAGAATAAAACATGACCCTCCAAATAATGTTCCCGGTAAGCTCTTCCATCCCGCCCCCATGACGCTCCTGCGTCCCAACCCACTCATCTCTCTCAAAAGTGCCATAAGCACGCCCAAAAACACAAAAATAACCAGCATTTGCACGACCAAGCCCCCTATGTAAACATGATCTGCATTCCTCTGTTCCCATTCAAGATTTCTCTTTTCCATCGTTGTTGCGCCCACAACTTCCAGCACAAAGGCCACTCCATTGAATACTAAGAAAGGAAGCGCAATGAAATGAGCACGAATGCCGAGAAGAGAACGACTTGGGAGATAGTGATGCACGAGGTGTCCCAAGAGAATGAAGTAATAGGCATTGATCAAGGGCGAGATAGTCAAAGCAAAGATGGAAGACATGAGTTCAAGGACGTTATCTTGTTGGTTGTAGATTGATACAATACGGAGTATGAAGGCCGTGAGGCCCCAAATGGATGCTGAAACTATGAAGAAACTATATGCCTGCATGATGTGTCAGTTTCGGTGTTAAATTTTGGGATGAAGTAAAAGAACAAATACCTTTTTGTAAAAGAATGCTTGTATGATGTGAGCTAGAGTAAGAAATCCGAAAATGGCAGCGAAAGCTACAGCTGATGTAGAACTAGGATAGTAGTCATAAAGAGCGTTGCATGTACCCGGAGGCAAATATCCATTTTTGTCCGGCGTAAGTGTTTGTATGCAGGTAGGAACTGCAAAAGAGACTGTTTTGGCTGGGATAGTCACATGCGCATTCGTTACCCCCGCAATGGTAATGTAATTTGTTGTTAGGAAATAAAGTGGACTTGTGGATGCAGGTGAAGCAGTGGTAGTCACATCACGCTGCAAAATCGTTGGAGCCGCAATGGAGCTTGAACGTGTAGTTGTGGTACTCAGAGCGAGAGCATTGGTAGCGATAAAGACTGTCGATGCTAAGAATATGAGACTAGAGAACATCATCGTCGTTGTTTAGGCAACAAAGAATTCGATGGTATAATCAACACGGATAAGTGGAAATAGTTCAAGGAAAGTCAATACAAAATATTTCAGGGTATTGCAGATAAGGAGAAATGATCGCTAATAGCTAGGAAAGTTAAAATTATTGAGAAATCTATGTTCATATATGAAGAAGGAAACAGCAATGGTCTAAGCAGGTGGTGAGATACTACAACCCTCCTTCAGGTGAGAAGTGTAGCTGACTAAGTACGCATTAATCACTCATTGGTCGGGGCGTAGAAAAGATTAAATGCCATATGACATCTGTGTACGAATAGACCAATTGTGCACCCGAATAATGTGGCGAAGTAAAGGAGGTCTCGCTTACCTACTTTACCGCTTCAAAAATGGGGTCAGATGGAACGGCAACATTGTCGCAATCCCGAAGTTCATCAGCTACTCGTAGTCTATTTATTAAAGTTCACCCCTACGATTTCATAAATAACGTAATTAGAAGGCTGTGCCGGACCTGGGGGAATATGGATCTACGAGGCTGGCGCATTTGGCCAGGGCTATTGAGAAGCCACTGCATCAGTGCTTCGCTATTGTGTTTCAAATTCACGTGAATGTTGTATGAAAATGCGAAATGGTAAATGCCTTTATTATCCGTGATCCATATCCTGGGTATTCATATCTCGGGAACGCCCCTTGTATCCAACTCCCTTTGAATGCAGACCTTTAACTATCCCAAATATACACCAGGCGCAATGTTAACCACGCTAGTTCTTCACCTTTTTTCTAATCATACCAGCTCCAAGCACATTGACCTGTGGGGTCGTTACCACGGTAGGAGTGGGCTCATGGGGCTCATCTGTGCTCGATTTCCTTTTTTTTCGCACAAGTCCTACATTAAGGGTTGTAACACCTACACCACTCGTCTTATTTGTGATCTCTGTTACTTTGGTTCCTGTAACTAATTGGCCCCATGCGTCGCCCATGCTTCCAGCACCTGAACGAACTTCATTGATCCATCTTTTCGAACTCGAACTTGCAAGGTCTAGATCGGCAAAGTCTAGTCGAAGAAGCAATTCATTGATTCGATGATAATCCGTTTCATCAACGATAACTTGACCGCGACCTTCTGGTTTCCAAGTATAGTATGCCGTGCTCTCGGGTCTTTCTAACAAGTAATTTTTATTCTCAGTCTTAATGCGTGGCTGTCTGGGAATGATAAGCCCAGATAATTTTTTCTTCTTCCGTTGGGCGGAAGTCTTTAACAAATGACTAGGTCCCTTGATGACTGAAAAAATATCACTTTGCTTCGAAGGTGACAGCTGAGCTGGATTCGAGCTAGTAAAGGATGTCGTTGGAGTGGAAATGGCTGGTGTAGCGTCTGGAATAGATAGAAACGATGAGTTCAGCTCTTGACTATCGTTAGCTAATGCTGAAGTTTGGCTGCTGCTAATTACAAGATCTCCATGATCATGTCGAACTGGTGGTGTAAAAACAATCCATATAAATCCAACAAGTCGACCGGCTGAACATTCTTGTCTATATGCCATCATTTCCCAAAATTGATCAATGTTTCTCACACTCTTCCATTTCCCATTCGAATCATCTTTTCCCCTTCCTATTTCATCATCTAGTTCGTCTAAAAATCTTGCTTTTGGATCGTCAGGATAATGTGGGACTAGGCATCGTGGAGGAACATCATCTGCATGTCTTGAAATTTGTCGAAGTGGGTGCCCAATGGTCCAGGAGCTCTGCGCAGTCTGTATCTTTGCTCTTGCTGGAAGATATGACCTGGTCTCGTAATTATCCTGCCCAGGCACAATTAAAAAGCCCTTCACTGAGTCCCATTGTGATTTTCGCAAATCATTCGAGGTTTCCGTCTGCTCTATCAGGGGGTCAAGAACTCGACACCACCAGCGCACCAAGCCTCTGTCGTCCAACACATGTTTTCCACTATATTCAATGCTCCCTGGGAAAAGATATTGATCTTGAGCTCGTGCGAAAAGGGAGACAATACTTCGAATATTTTCCCTTTGATGTTGCTCGACTAAATATTGTAAGAATGTAGCACTGATGTCCCTTATGGGAGAAGGCGTTCCTCTGGGTAGATTTAGAAGATGAAGATAACCAGTCGAATCGGCCTTTGAAACAAAAAATGTAGTATCGTATGCGGTGGAATAAATCAGGATTTCGATTGCAAAAACTAATACTTCAAGTAATTCAGATGCATCTTGTTTTGAAGGAGTTCGAATTGAAACTGTAAGAAAATGGCTTTCGCAATAAGTTCTATCGGGTCGACTATTCGGTGGTGCAGAATATAATGATGAGGTTTTGGTTGGAGGGGTAGATAGATGATAGATCTTAAAAGTGACGTCTTTGGGAAGGACAGAAGCAAGTCGTTGTGTGAGAACGGAAGATACAACTGATTCTTTCGAACCATAACTTCCTTGAGTAGCCATAGCAAAATAATGTTGTAACTTATTTCATGAATTTCATGATCATAAATCAAGAGTCCAATGGATAGCTCAAATCACTCGAGTACTTGTGGAATTTAAATGAAGTCGTTCTGTGTGAGACGCGTCGGCGAGTCGGCACAATGACGGACGCGAAACCCAGTCTATACCAAAAGAAGTTTAGCGTCTAGATAAAGTTTCCAGAAATCTTGAGCTTTCAACATCGAGGAATTATTTTGCTAGAGGAGGGGGGTATTTGCACGACGAATAACCACAAATCATACATAGCAATGGCATCCAAAACCACCACCCGATCACTTCGATCCCTTACCCGACAAGCAGGTCAAAGATGCTCATGCGCCACTCCCATATCCTCCCGCTCAAATACCGTCCGACAATTTTCAATATCAACCTCGAGATCAGATACCCAATGTAATGAAGAACGAGGAGCAAGACCAAGATGGTCATACACACCACCACAGATGAAACTGCCATTCAACCCCAGAGCAAACCACGATATACCCACATGGGAAGTCAATAGCGATCCACAAAGATTAAATCGATTTTATATCAAATTTCTAGGACGGGGAGGCGACGAGGTACTTACAGACGAAGTAAAATGGCTTGCGATTACACATAAGAGTTTTGATCAAGGAAGAAGAGGTTTCAATGATCGATTGGCATATTTCGGTGCGTATCCTGATTTGCGTTGCGAATGGCTGAAGTATACTGAGACTATAATATGCAGGACGTAGGATATTGAACTTACAGACAAGTTTGGTTTTATTACAATCGCCGGTTGCGACAGAAACTCAATTACCTCAGGAAACAGACGGCCAGGGAACAGAAGTTGAGCAGCCATTTTCACACCCTGCTCTGGACGGTTTGCCAAACTTGACCAATGTTAAGGTGGATGATATTTTAAGCAAGGAGAGGTTGGCGAATTTGGCTACTCAAATGGGCATGCCAGATATTATTCGATGGGAACCTAGAATGGTAAGTTGGAGTTTTCTTTTACGAGGCGTATTCCATATGGCTACTAATTCCCTTTACAGAAGGATAATCTCGAGAAGTCTGGTCTTGAGCTCGTACTAGCCACTTCGTTGTATGCTATCATTGGTGCAATCGCATTGCAGAAGGGTGGTGACGTTGCAACAAGAGTGGCGCGAGAGAGAATATTGAAGCCTCTTGGTATATCATAGATGTGTATATCACATGTATGAATGATACGGATGTAGAATACATATTGTAAAATACTTACTAAAAACTCACAAGTTGTGAGTAGCATATCATTGACAGTGCAACTGTGGGAGCAGGGGCACATAACAGTGGGTGTACAAATTCATCAAATACTTCCTCGACGTCCAAAATTCTTAACCAATTCAATCTTCATAACATCGATCTCAAATTGTACGATTTTTTTTGTCAAATTGGTGATAAATCCTTGCATCTAGTTGTAAAATGCAGACTTTGAGATATATTGTCAAATATAACATTACAACCATTCTCAGTAAAACGACGTTGGTCTATACAATATTTCCCTCTGTCCAAGCCACCTCTTTTCGCAATTACTTCCCAAACACAATCTTCGTAGAAAGCAACACTCCATTAAAGCTTCCCACCATTCTCCTACTACCCGCTTCAGCAATTCTAACCCTCTTCCCACCAAACAATACTCAAGTTCCCCGCTCTCCCCAACATCACCTACCTACTATCTTCCCAATCCTCTTTACACAGATAAACCCATCACCCAACCACCCATTCCTCAGATATAATGCCAAACACCACTCTCCCAATATCTGAACACATAAGCGTCCGTGGCGCAATGGTATTGAATATGATTGAATATGGACAACCTTGTGACTCAGTACATTTTTTTTATGTAGGTATTGGAATTCGTTAGGAGATGAAGAGGCCTGTGGCTTATTAGTCTTTTGGTTTCCAAGGTCGATTTTTGCAGTTTTTCTTTTTCCTTTTTGGGGAGTGAAGAAAGGAGGGTTCTGAGTGCAGGTGAGGAGTTTCATGGTTTTTGTGGATGCGGGTGGAGATGGTGAGATGGGATGGAAGTACATGGGATGAGAGTATGTTCTTGGAAGTGGACAGATAGTGAGTGAATAATAGATGGAAGAGTGGATTGACGAAATGAAAGTGAATGGGTAGTCCTTGAGTTATGTTATGGCAAGAGGAGTCCACTTGCAACTCACAAACATCACAGTGCATCAATATTGTCATTGTACTTTATCTTGACAAGGGCAATAGACATTCTATCATCTAGTAACCCGTCAACAAGCTGCGCAAGTAAATAAAGATCATATGTGAGCCCGGTTTCCAACTATCAAAACTAAACTTACCCATCTACCTAGCCTTCAAACAACCTCCCATCAAGCCTTGGAAAGCCCAATTCAGATTTCATACATCGACAACCCAAATAGCAATCATCCAACACTTTCAGTTCCAACATTCAAAATAAAATATACACATAGCACCTACACATTCCCCACCAACCAGAAAGAACTTGCAGCTATCCATCAGCCGAACCATCAACTTTCCAGCTGTACTATCCATATATCTATCTACCTAGATAGCCCACCAAACCATAGTCCAGCCGTCCCAAAATTCCTCTGAATCCTACTCCCATTATCCAAGTTCAACAGCAAGATCATCACCCCTGCTAACCATCGAGGCAAAAGGAACCTCGCACACGAACTAGCTATTCCCATGAATGAATTAACTCCCACTTCAAACCAGAAGAAATATGTATCGTATTCCTCGGCCGAGAATTTTCTCCAACTGATCATCCATCCATCCACCCTCCACATCCACTTCCCACCCCAACATCTCCCCCCAAATATCCATTTCTTATCAATTTCTTACCCCCTTCTCTCCATCTCACCCCCTCCATAAATTTCCCAGAACGACCCAGTCAATCTCAATCTACCAATCTACCACCATGCACACCACAACAAGCAGAAAACACCCACCGTCCAACCCTACCATCTCTTTTGCAAACATCCAATCAAATCCAACACTACCACTCTACATCCATATACCCACGAAACAAGAATCTCCCCGCGAGTCCTGACCAGCAAGAATCCAAGGAGAAAGCAATCAGCAAACCCCCACCCATCTATTCATCTCCTTCTCCCCCCTCTCCTCTTCCCCCATCTCCAAGTAAGCCCAAATCAATCAACTCTCAACTCTTTCCAATTCTTTCCAACCTTGCAAATCCTTCCTCCTCCTCCTCCTCCCCTCCCCTCCCCTCCCCTCCCCTCCCCTCCCCTCCCCTCCCCTCCCCTCCCCTCCCCACCCCACCCACCATACCAAATGATAACACAGCACAATCTCCTCCTCCTCATCCATTACCACACTTCATCTATCCAACCATCTATCCAACCATCTATCCAACCATCTATCCAACCATCTATCCAATCATCTATCCAACTATCTATCCAACCATTTATTTAATCATCTATTCAACCATCCATCCTCACATCCTCACATCCTCACATCCTCACATCCTCACATCCTCACATCCTCACATCCTCACATCCTCACATCCTCACATCCTCACATCCTCACATCCTCACATCCTCACATCCCCAAACCTTTCCATTTTCCCACTCTACCCCGCCCCCCTACCCCGCTCCTCTTCCCCTCCTCTTCCCCTCCCCCGCCCCCTATCACCAAGCGAATCAATACCCCTCCTCCCCACTCCCCTCCCCAGCACAACGCATTGAGAATCTCGCTTCCACACCCCACACCCACCCCACTTCCAACCCCTCTATCCGCTTCTTTTCAAACTCAATGTATTTTCTACAATTTTTTCTACATGAAAAAACCTTCTACATACTTTTTCACTTCACTTCACTTCACTGTGCTGCAGCATCTTTCAAACATCACATCAGGATAATCACAAACAAATAGTCCGAATAAAAATGTTGCATGTAAGATCAACTCATTTTTTTATTCTTCCAATAGTAGTAGCAATCGCAATATCAAATAGCTTTCCGTCTACTAAAACCTCCCAAAATTCCCAAACTTCCTAACACAAGCACAGATAGAAACAACACGATAAGAAGCTAATATATGCAAATACAACCACGCAACCAAGTAACCCTGCAACCATTCCATCCACCCATTGATCCATCCATATACAACCAAACAAGCCTACAAACAAGTAATTAACTCCTCCAAGTACAATCCCATAGTGCTCTCGCAGAAAATCATACACATAAACTCATGAACTCATACACAATCCCTTTTGAACGAGTCACTCATTCATTTTCATCCTTCGCACTTCCACTTTCCCAAACAACGAAATCCGCTTCCGGTTTCTCCATTGGTTCTACCACTTTCTTTTGCATGAGAAACTCAATGTCGATTTCTTTTCCCTTTCCTTTTCCTTTTCCAGGCATGTAAGCCATTGATACTGGCTCTGGTAATGGGATTGTGGTTTGAGGTTCTGGGATTTGTTCTTCTTGTTCCAAGGACGCCTCCGTCTCTTTCTCAGCTTCTTCTTCTTCGACCGATACCTCAGGTTCAGGATCTGGAAGAATGATGAAAACACTCTTCTCATCACAACCTTCTGCATAGAAATCTTCTTTCCTCATCTCTCCCAATGGAGCTCTATCAACATCAATAGCACCCTCTTCCATTTCCCTTCGTTTCTTTTGTTGCATCTTAATCCTCATTTTCATTTCTCTAATCTCCACATCATCTTTACGAGACATAGACGTGGAAGAAGAACTCGATGCGAAAGCAGTAAGTGAAGTACGTGTTTGAGAAATGTCATCTAGAGGTGGAACATTCTCTTTGCCTCTCTCGTCTCCCAATCTTGTAAGTGTTTCTTCGTCGGAGGAGATATCCAGAATGCCAGTACTATGTTCCATAAGATTGGTGGCATGTTCCTCTTCAGTGTCTTCGTGAATTTGGAAGAACCAGGATGATTTGCCTTCGGGTGCACGAAGGGAGGAGGGGATTTCTTTCTGAGAGGTTTGGGCCTTCGTGCCCTTGGAAGAGAGAGCTTGACGTTGACGTTGACGTGCGCCGTATGATGGAATGGTTCCTGAAAGAGCGGCATCGATTGAGAAGCTAAGGCCGCTAGGCTTTGTGGTGGAGAATTTGGGGGGATCAACGCGGGTTATTGAACCGGAAGCACGACGGTGATTGTTAAGGATTCCGACGCGCTTTCTAGTAGGTGAGCGACCTGCTGGAGCGGTAAGGGGTGTAGATTTTGGGGCTGTGGTGGTGGCTTTTGGTGTTTGAGTACGAGTTTGTAGTATCTTTCGCTGAGTGGTAGATTTGATAGGTTTGAGAGGAGAGGTAAGCGACGCTTCGGTGGGGGATGGAGGGGCTTTGGTTAAGAAGTAGCTTGTAGGTTTTGAGTAGGTATCTTTAGTTTCCTCAACAGCCTTGGATCGCTTGGGAGATTCGAAGAATATAGGATCAACGTTTTCGGAATCATCGTCGGATTCGAATGATGTAGCTTTGCGTTTAGGAGAGGTATTGTTGGGTGATAGAGCTAGGTAGGATGTAAGTATCATGTTCATATGTAGATCATGTCAAGTAGGTAGGAAAGAGTGAATTGTAGCAGTCGAGAGACAGGTACTGCTATTCTGATGAAGTGGACATTAGGCATACCATTTTGACGATTCTTGACACTCGTGATATTCTGTAGACGTGAACTATGCAACGGAGCAAATGGTTGTCTAGCCGTTCCCATTGGCATATGGGAAGTCATGATTGCGATCTCTGTTGAACAGGGATCAATTTGGGTTTTCCGATTGTTTATCTTTCTTCAATTCTTTCTTTCCTTTTCGGACGATGTGTAAATCAATTGTTTATCAATGAGTTTGGGTAAATGAGTGAAATGATTTTTTGCAAGATTTGGATAGAAGTAGATAATTAACTATGATGCTGTGCTTCGAGTGTTTCGTGGGAAGGATTTCAAAAAAGGTGGTGGCGGGAAAAGGAAGAAAAAGAAGCCAGTCGCGTTCGCCAAAGGAGCGAATAAAGTGGAGATGGTAATACAGTGTGTGTGCAGAGTGTCTGTGTCGGCAAATCGAGATTCGAGAGCTCTTAACCTTGCTTGGATCGTTTTGTTATGTTTGGAAAGGTTAGATGGAAGTTATTATGTCAAGCTCCTTGAGCTAGCAACAACTTGATGGCGTTTGGTGAATAGTACAATGTACTATCTGACTAT